GGTTTTAAATTTAATATATATACTAATCTGGTCTAATAGCTTAGGTTAGTATATATATATTTTTTTTTCGGTATTAAGGTGACCTCTATGGCCGGAGGCTTTTTATTAGATAATTAACAACGTTTACAATTATGATGAGGGTACAATTAGCCACACGTACAACTTTTAGTTGTCTATTTTAAGTAGTTCGCCTGAGTTCTACACTAGCCACCATGCCTGTAATCTAACTAGGAGATTACCTATTTAAGCTCTCTAACTTTTTACAAGTGAGAGTATAACTAGCCATACCTGCAATTTTTTGGTTGCCTATTTAAGTAGTCTGCCCGAGATTCCACACTAGCTGCTATATTTGCAACCCAACTAGGGGATTACCTATTTTAAACTCTTTGATCACAACCGGCCCGCCATCTCTTACTTAACCAAGGTGTAACTCACTATTCATATGCTAGATTTTGCGACACTTATAGATTTCGCACTCATCTTAGGACTTACTAGCATTAGCTAGTCTATCTATGAGGTAAACCTAACAGAGCGGTACATGTCTCACACATGTATTCACCTGCATGTTCGGTAACTTCTTCCTAATTTGGTATCTGTTGTGTTGCCGCCACCAGGTTCATATCTCGAGCTATCTTTTAGGATACTGCCGTAACCCTTAGGTTAGTATATTAAATTTAAAGCAATTTTGTTTTTTTTATAAAAAAATAAAATTTATTTTATATACTTGGCTTTAAATTTAATATACTAATCTGGGCCTGTTGGGTCCAAGTTAGTATATTAAATTTAAAGCCAAGTATATAAAATAAATTTTATTTTATATATTTGGCTTTAAATTTAATATACTAATCTGGGCTTATTGGATCTAAGTTTGTATATTAAATTTAAAGCAATTTTGTTTTTTTTATAAAAAAATAAAATTTATTTTATTTACTTGGCTTTAAATTTAATATACTAATCTAGGCCCAGGTTAGTGTATTAAATTTAAAGCAATTTTGTTTTTTTTTATAAAAAAATAAATTTATTTTATATATTTAGCTTTAAATTTAATATACTAACCTGGGCCTAACAGGTTTAGGTTTGTATATATATTAAATTTAAAATATTTTTATTTTTTTTATAAAAAAATAAAATTAGAAGTGTAACAGTTTAGTAAAGTGGTCTAGTTGTCAATTTATCAAGCAGCAAATCTAGAGTTTAAATTTCATAAATAATATTTTTAAAAAATAAATTTGCATTAGATAATGATTATTCATCAATCAGTTAGATCTATAATTTGTAATCTTAATTATATCATCTTGTTATGGAAGCTTTGGTATAAAAATACCAAGAAACTGTGATAATTAAAAACCATTTAAAAAGATCTAAATAAAGAGGTAGTGAATACCTTTGACAATACTATAAAAAGACTGAATTTAGAAGTAATAACTAAGATTGGAAAACTAAATAACAACAAGATTCTTAAGTAGGGAGATCTACTAACTCAACTGCTAATTGAAGAGAAAGCTAGCACACTAACTTAGTTAGCCAGTATGAAAAACCAAAGTAACTATCTACTGTAACTAGGATTTGAAAATTAGATTCTACCTAACAACAAGAGCTAGGCAATTTCTAAAGATTAGCTAGGCTTAATTAGAAAAAAAGGACATATGCTATAAAATTATATATTATGAAGAAATGTAGTATAAGATACCTAGAGTAGTCAGTATCAAATCTTCTAAGTTACAGATTAGGAGTAAAGGAGAAACCAATAAGGCAATAATAGAAAAAGGAAGATCTAAATATGTATACTGGAGTTAAAGTGAATCTTACAAGAGCATAATGGTTTAATTGAGTTACCCCAAACTACGAGTAGAAGTCTTAGCAACTGTGATAACTAAGTTAGTTAAATATAAGATACAGAAGACTCTAGTAGATTTATTTCAAAAATAGCTATATGTTTGCTTAACAGAAAATGCAAGTTGATACAAATCTAGGATAAGTTACAGAAGTTTCAAAGCAGGATATACAATCTAGTAGAATAGGCCAGATAATAGTTCTTGGATTAGTATGATATACTATAAAAATAGTTAGAATCAGAAGGTTTAAACAAGTAACTCCCTAGTTGGGTTATAGATATGGCATTTAGTATAAAACCTGTGGGTGGACTACTTAAATAAGCACTCGAAAGATGTATATATAGCTAGTTGTATCTTTATTATAACTATAATAGTAAATAATTATTAATAAAGAGCCTCTATGGCCAAAGAGATTACCTTAATACTAAAAAAAAAATAAATAAATAAAAAAAATAAAATTTTATTTTATATAATTGGCTTTAAATTTTAATATACTAACTTAGACCCAACAGGTTTAGGTTTGTATATTAAATTTAAAGAATTTTTATTTTTTTTTAAAAATAAAATTTATAAACTAAAATTAAAAATAAAATTAAAACTAATATTTGTTAGGATTAAAGTTAGAGTTAAGGTTAGGGTTAGTATTAGCTTTAGATAATAGAAGTGGCATAAAGGTATTAGCTATAGCAAGCAACTACTAAGTGAGCAAAGTAAGCTTAGTTAATATTGCTAAATATTAGCAAAGTAATACAAGTTATATTGTCTTTAATAAAGTTGTTTTTAGAAAATATTTAGTTGTATGTTGTTAATAAATAAAATTAAAATTATTAAATAAAATTAAAAATATATATTTATATATTTTATTAAATTTTTATTTAATAACATTAAAGTCTAATAATATTTACTGGATTAAAAACTATATAAAAGTTAAATTATTTATTTAATAACATTAAAAATTCAAAGTAATATATTAAGTTAAAAACTATTACTAATAATATTTACTGGATTAAAAACCATATAAAAGTTAAATTATTTATATATTTAATAAAAATTCAAAGTAATATATATATTAAGTTAAAAACTATTAATTATAATAAAAAATAAAATTATCTAAATTTATTATTTCAGTATTTAATAATGTTAAAGTCCAATTCTTTAAATCAAATTAAAGACTATATAAAAATTAAATTATTATTTAAAAATATTAAAAATTAAAACAATTATATATTATATTAAAAACTATTAATTATAATATAAAATAAAAATTATATATATTACGTTTATTATTTAATAACATTAAAACCCAATACTATATATATCAAGTATATAAATATTATATTAAGTTTATTATTTAATAATGTTAAAGCCCGGTGCTACGCACCGGGTTAAAGACTAGTAAAACTTATAATTTTATTATTATCATTAGAATTTTTTCAATTTGCGCAAATTATTTGGGCTGATTAATGTGTCACCAACCTGGCACACGTTCAAGAATTGCTACAGGTTTAAATTAATATACAATGCTGTACTATATACAAGTATATTACTAAAGGTTTATCGTTATGTAAAAGTACTCAAATACGGTACTCTCACCAATGACAATCGATGTCTGAAACCATTTGTAGTTATAATTATCCTACGAATTTAAAATTAAACGGGTACGTATTACGGATATACGGATTCTTTATTATAAAAACTAGTGGATATTCGGATCGCATCCCTATTTTAAAAATCTGTAATGTAGTGTTATTTAAAAAGTATATATATACGCACGTACGTACCAGTATTTTACGTTATAAAATACCGGTACATTTATAGATTTTTAAAACAATCACCCGATCATACGTTAAGATCGCCGGTGATTAATAATAAATATCTAATAGATCAGGATATTAATATTACTAATTCTTTACGTTGTAGATTTTTAAAATAATACTACAGTATACTGTAGATTTTAAAAATAATACGTATATATTTTACATTATAGATTTTATATAAAATCTAACAGCTAAGCAAAAATTTAATTCAAAAAATTATGTACGTAAATTGATTATCGTTATATACCTGATATATACTGTAGAATTAATTGTAGTAGTAACTTTGTTTACCGTTGAAGTTTTCATTCTGAAATATCATGCGTTTTATTTTTTCCTTATAAGTAAAATATACTACAGACTTCGAGATCTTTCTGGATTTTTTACCAATGATTTTTTATTTTCACTTGTGAAATGTTACATTTTTCAATTGTATAAATAACGATATGACATATTTGGTTGCATGTAATCTCATGATTTGTCGAGCCAGAAATTTTAAAGATAGAACCAACAAATCATTTCTGAAAAAAAGAAAACCAGGTTTATTAAGAATCATTATACTGTACATCGCCGAGCTAATGCTTTAAAAATTTTAAAATTTATTATGTTCAAAGTTCTCATAGTGGTGCTGTTCAATTTGACGATTTAAATCAGCTGGTCCGGCTAAACTTGGTCGGCCGTAAAATTGGTATTGGTAATATTTTATTATCATAAAAGATGACATAAATTATACGTCTTATTGCAATATGCAATATTTGGCAATGCTCGGCATATTTGGGGATGTGCAGTAACACGATGTGAATCTATGACATTCGATGAAATAAATTAGTAATACAATGATACAATAATCACATGAAATGAAAATTTCCTTAAGTTTCTGGCATATTCTGTTTTTGAAATATTTAGTTATAAATACTTGAAATGTACGTTGATACCGTAATTAAGTTTTTCAGATAACGTCAGTAAATAAAAAAATTCAATTTTTTATTTTTCAATATCAATAAAAAAATAATAATTAATTTTATTATCAAACATGAACGCACAACAGAATTCAAATCAACCCAACTTTCCAGAGTTTGTTCCCTTTTTCACACCATTTACTTTTATTATTCCTTCTTCACGTTCTCCACGAGAACAAACACCACAACAAACTCAAACGCCACAACAAATTCAAACGCCACAACAAACGCAAACACCACAACAAACTCCAGAACAAACGCAAGAGCCCATGCAAACCGATAATCCTCAATCAAATGGCTCTAATAATGATAGTGATGATAGTGCTCCACAAAACCAATCAAATAATAATAACAATAATGGAGCACCACAAATTCATTTCTTCATAACCATTATGCCTGGTACTCCCGGTGCCAACGATGAAGGAAATAATCAACCTTCTACTCCTTTCATGATCTTTTTCACTCCATTCATCTTCCCGCAACAAGAAGTTCAACATCCACACGTTTCCGACGCTGCAATGAAAAAATTACCGATCATCACAATCAATCAAGAACACATAGATACGAAAGCAACTTGCCCAATTTGTCTCGAGCAATTTTCTTTAACCGAAGCTACTAAAGACCAAACTCAAACATCAATAAGACAAATGCCTTGTAAACACATATTTTGCGAATCATGTTTATTTACGTGGTTGAAACAAAATAATACATGCCCATTGTGTAGATATGAAATTAATGATGATCAACAATTACGAAATGAGACGCCTCCATCAACTCCTAATTTCACACAAAACGATGATATGATGACTAATTCCACTACCAATTCCTCCGAAGCTACGAATTCACACCACCAAAATAATTCGTGCTCATGTGATTTGGCACATGTTGGTTGTTGTGAAGCGCAAGACGATCCTAATACACTTAATCCTATAATTACATTACCACACTGTCATCATAGATTTCACGCCTCATGCTTAAGAACTTCTTTAATTATTGAAGGTTATTCAATAGATTCATCAAATCCGTTGGAATTCTTTTGTCCTACATGCCGTGCACCGTCTATTCTTCATCCTGACATGTTAAAGTTTCTAGAGAACAATAACCCTGTGGGTCAAAATGACTCACCTTCTCCTATATTTGCACCTCATGAAATGGACTTGGATTAAATTTAAAAGAGAGAAAAAAAAAAAAATTAAGAAAAAAGATTAAAGATATTTTTGGTTACGTATCGTATTTGTATTTTATAAAAATAATAATATTCTAGACATTTATAGAAAAAAAATAATATTTTAGCGATTTTTTAAGTAAATTTTTGATGCAAAAAATCTATTTTAGTATTAGCATTAGTCATTTTAATATTTTTTTTGTAATGTAAATATATATTTTGTAAAAAGAAATTTTGAATAACACAAATAAACAAATAAACTATTGAATCTACATAGACGTTATATAGATTTGAAATTTGAAATCGATTTTCAATACAGCTTATGTATAAAAAATATTTTACGAAGAAAATTTTTACACGTGGTTCTTTAAAACTTAATATCGATATAAAAATACCGACTTAAAAATTAGGGGTCCATGAATCATGATTTATATACTTGTATCGTCTTTATAAGGCTAGCCTTGTAAAAAAAAAAAAAAAATAAAAATAAAAATCAACTAGGTACGATAGCTTTTACCGTTACAGATTAACCATGGTCGGACTTCACGAAATTATTAAAAAACGTGCGCTTTCTCAGATCTCTATATTATAAATTTTGACCCGTTAATTCGGCTTGCTAATTTCTTTAAACTATATTTTAGGCATCCTAAACGCAATAAAAACTGTAAATGCACCTGGTGGCTGGAAGGTCGTAGTAGTAGATGACCATTCACTAAAGGTTATTGAATCTACGTGTAAGACCTTCGACATTCTCGAAGAGAAAGTTACCTGTAAATTACCTCTTTATATTTTACCTTGCTATAATTGGTTGATTGCGTTATATTAATTATTCTTATCAATGTAGTGGTAGAAAACCTTCAAAAAACTCGCCAACCTAATCCAAGTTTTGATGCTGTTTACATCATTACTCCGTCACATAATTCTGTCGAAAAGGTGATTGAGGACTTTACTAGACAAAAGCCTCCTTTATATGCGGGCGCTCATATATTTTTCATATCTCGTAGGTTTTTGTAAAGGCTATTTCCTTGTACAAGCCACTCTTGTTATAATGAACTCTCGAGATATAGATATGATTATATATTGTATTCTCTTGATGACTTCATTATTACGAAAGCTACTTGTAATTCAGAGGTTTGCTTATTGATTTTATTATTCGTTGTTATTAGCTCCTGATGATCCGATCTTTCAAAGGTTGCGTTCTTCTTTACCTCCGAATTTCTTAAAATCATTTGAAATACTCTATATTGATTTTCATGGTAAGTGTAGTCGAATCTCAAACATTTTTAGAATTGTTGATCTAGAATTTTTTCAATATCATTAAATATAGAGTTCCAATCAGGATAAATCCGTCATCCGCTTATCCGTATATAATTATCGGATAATTATCCGGATATCAATAGTTAATGGATAGATAGTAAATGAATATCTGGATAAACGCTTAATGGATTGGAACTCTAATTAAATATTTAATTATTCTTGCAATTTGACTATTATACCAATTATGCTTTTATAATAGTTCGAGAATCACAAGTATATTCTTTCGAATCTCCCTCAAGCTTCTTCAAATTATATTCACCTGAAGAAAGTCCTTTGTTTGATGGTGAACTGAGAAAACTTGCGAAGCAGGTTGCATAATACTATTACCATTTTTACTATTAAACTTTTCTATTAATTAGTCTTATTTTTAGTCTAATACATTCATCTTTTTATTTACGATAGCTCCTTTCCGTTTGTGTTTCATTAGGTGAAGAAAACCCTTTAATACGTTTTCAAAGGGGAATTGAGTCAGATCATGCAACGAAAGAACTATCTTTAAAATTAGCTCAATTAGTACAAGCCGAGTTCGATGAACATGCAAGAAATAGAAAACGTCACTCACCTGTAAATTTTTGTTTTATTATTAATTTTTTTTGAAAAAAAAGAGGGATTATTTAACATTTTATAAATTATATACTATTTGAATTATTCTTATCACCTTACCAGCCGCAAGATATACAACGTCCACGAGCTGTTTTATTTATTGTAGATCGATCCATTGATATGTACACTCCAATATTACATGAATTTACTTACCAAGCTATGGCAAATGATGTTTTGCAAATTGAAAATGGTCGAAAATTTTCCTACAATTATACTGCACAAGATGGTTCAACTGCAACAAAAGATGCTATCTTAGATGAATCTGACACTATTTGGGTTGATATACGACATAAACATATGAAAGATTGTATTGATCAGCTTAAGAGTGATTTAAATAAATTCTTAGAAGAAAACTCTACTATTACTAACAAGTAAGAAAAATACAATTTACAAGAAAATTTATAAAAAATAGACTTTTTCTTTTTAATTAAATATAAAATTTTTATGTTTATTATATGTATTTAGAGATAAAGAAGCAAATTTAAATGATATGAAAAAAATGCTGGCAACACTGCCTCAATTTCAAGATATGAAGGATAAGGTATTGAGATATTAATTTATTGTTTATAAACATACAAAATTTATTATTATTGTCCGGAGCGGAGCGAGGACTTTACATTCATATGGTGCCGTCTCTAAAATTATGGTCGGAATTCATCGGAGCTGGATCGGCATTAAGCAATTTTAGCCAATTATGAATTAGGATTAGACTTATTAGTAAATATTTAGTGATCTTGGACAAAATTATTCTGACCGACCAGGCATTGTATGAGAGTGAAGTTGTCGTAATCATTTCAGATTAGTCTGTCGGGCACGTGAGTAAATGGTGATTGGTGAAATCGATTCACCTATTCATGTACTCGTGTGATTTGTTCTGGACAGTTATTATTATTTATTATTATCTGAATTTTGAACTAACATTTTTTCGTTGGTTAATAAAGTATTCGGTCCATTTGAGTATTGCACACGAATGTATGAATGTGTTTGATAGCGAAAGACTCCCTGATATAGC